TTTTAGAAATTGTAGTCTATATATCTGGGGCTCAAGAGATTGGAAGAAGCTGATTTACAGACAGAGCTTTTGAAACAAGCCATTAGCTTGGTTCCTGAAGGCTGGCTCATTATTCTATTATTTGGAAGGTGTCAAAGTGGAATTATGAGGTCAATAATGAAGGGCAAGTATCTATTTGTAAACCAAAAATTATGGAACTGGAAGATGTAGATATCTTCTAAATTGACGATATGAGTTACCAGAATGAATGGAGTCAATAAATCAAAGAATTTCATCGAGAAATCTTTTTTATTTTCATCAATATAAAAAGTATCCTGAATGTGTCCAATAATCCAATGGCAAAAGGCTGCATTAATATAGGGTACAACAATGTTTTTTTCTGATTGGAATACTAGTAAAAGATTTCTGTAACTCGAGTCTAACTATATATTAACAAAAGCACTTTGATTTATATTCCTCTCCATAGTGCTTTACAGCACTGAGTAGTTTACGGTGTTAGCATATTTCCCCCAACAATCTGGGATTTCATTTTACCAACCTCAGAAGGACAAAAGGCTAACTCAACCTTGAGTCAGTCAGGATCGAACTCCTGGCTGTGGGCAGAGTTAGCTTGCAATATCGTATTTTAACCACTGCACCTCCATGGCTTTGAACTGACATGTTTCATCAGAAATGTTACAACCGGAAATGTAAATAAATTAAACAAGTTATTTATTTCATTTGTAGGGCCTAATTTTTTGTTTTGCACAATAAAATACTTGATATCCTACAAAATTAGGTTTGATGGCAGCTGTCTGAAACTTAAATTTAACTTTTAAAACCCTTGAAGTTAGGACTTGACTATCCAAGAATCTGACTGTTGCTTTCTTCTTCTAATATTATTAATGTTATTACAGTATCTCATCTGATTTTTAAAAATTTCCTAAAAGATTTTCCAAATACTCACTGAACCCATTTGTCCAGAGCTTTTCTCTTATGTTGTTCTCCAAGTACAAAATGTACTTCATCCAGGAATCTCTTAGTGGTAAGACATGCCACTAATGTTCCTTTTAAATAATATTTAAATTCTAGTGTTCTAATATCAAAGTTTTATTTCAAATTATTTATACAATGGTTTGGCAAATGGTTTGTTCTTGGCAAAAAGGTTCCAAAATATTAATAAACTAATTATTCAGATTATAGGATTTATATAATGCATTTTAAATGGGGCCCTAATGGTGCTTTTCACATTAAGGATCTACACCAGTTCAGCTTCAACAAAGATCTATTACTGTACAAGCTGTTCTCAGACCATCATTCTTGGATTCTTAATATTTCAGTTGCGAGTCTGCAGACTGCTGTCATCTCTGAAACATTAGCCACATTTTTCTATTTATTTTGTCCTGAATTTCAAGTTGACTTTTCTTATGTTTTTGTATACTGGAAGATTTGCATATTACTTTGCAAACTCTATTTGGCTTAATAAAGGCCAAAGGCCATTCCCCTTATCATGGATTGCTTTTAAAAAAAATAATAAAAAACATACAGTTCAATAGCCTTTACTTTCAATGATCAGATGCTTTCAAGAAACTGGGTACATATTTTATAAAAACTTCATTTCAAGGTATGGTTCCATGTATATAAAATCTGTTGGGTGCAGTACCACCTGACTTTGGCTTATGTAAAAAAACTTAAAGCAGACTGCTTGTATTCAGAGATGAGAGACTACCAGGAAATCCCAGGGCTATAGGCTAATCTGGGGAGTAAAAATAATTCAAGATGACAATACAGTGCAACATAACTTCCATACTATTGTCAAGGAAAAAAACCATGGATGTGTTCACATAACATCATGAGTAGAACCTGACTAAATAAAATCATTATTTTTTTAACAATGAAGAGTATAATAGACTCAATAAAACGGCTTTTCTTTCTTTTTATGATCTATGTTCCTTCTGAATGTGGATCACGATATCAATAGCATTTTTTTAAAATGTTGTTTCAACTCCCCACTTTACTTTATAGTTCTGCTATTGCTTGATAACTCCCCATCCAATTAATGGACTATGTTTGATCCCACTTAGCTTGTTAAGACTGCCCAGGGTCAGTTAGGTGCTACCATTTAGCTTCAGTAAGTTGAACGAGAAAATAAATATTGGAAACAAATGATAAATAAACATACCTTTATTAAATGATAACTGGAATATAGTGAATAAAATCCATGTCAAATGCAGTAGATAAATAACATTAAGGAAAGGGTAATTTTGGCTTACTCTCCAATCCTAGAACATCTACTTGGAGTTGAGGGAAGCCTTTTTTAATTTCTGCAAAGTTGTTCTCAGATTAACATGTCTAAAATCATTCTGACACACAGGCCAAAAACAGAGTGAATATTGTATGTTCTGTTTTAAATCCAGCAGGCCAAAATGTTTTCAGATGTTTGAAGAAACCCTCAAGAAAAAATTCAAATTTTCTGTTCCTCACAAAAAATCTGAGAGATTTCTGAGTTTTTAAAGGAGCTCATTACAGTTCTAAATTTACTTGCAATTTATTGAATGTCAACTCCATTTTTGTAACTACCAGTTTGCTGATGATAGTTTTAATCTACCAACCTTTAGAAAGCTTAATTGGAAAGCTCTATACACACATAATTGAAATGCTCATAGGAAGGTTGGTGGGTTTGAACAGTGCATTTGTCAGCTTTTAGAAAAACCCCCAAGAAAACTAATATACTATAAGAATTTGGCTCCATGCATCCGTTTTAAGACCCATTCCTAGTGGCAACTGATATATTTCTAAATGAGGCACACTATTATAGAGTCAAGTTTTTAACTAGCATAGCAATATGGATATTATTCTAAAGAACAAAACTCCTTATGTTCACAATGAAAACAAAAAATCTATTTATATATCAAATCATCTGAGTTTATTAATAATAAAAAACAGACACTCAGAGACATCTGATTTTGTTATAAGACATCCTTGACATATATATATATATGGTATGGGTTAATTCCTCAGCTATGGGTAAACATTAACACTCATAAGGAAGTTAACGAGTTTCCAAATGGACTTTCTACACATCCCCTTTTTCTCGAATCTGAAATTGTACCTAAAGACTATATTTTTAATAAATCTACAACCAAAGAACAAATTATCTGATAATATTGATCTGCATTCCTGAACTTGGCATCCTCCAGACATGTTGGGATTGTAATGTCCAAAATCCACGGACACTCAACAAATTTTGAGAGTTGTAGTATCATCACAACTGAAGGCATCAGCTCTGAGAAGGCTGGTGTGGACTGGTAAAGAGTAGAACAGTAACTTGCCCCAAAGGTGTTATATTCTTTCTGGATCTTCTTGTGACAATACAAGAATACAACTTCTTTATTTCAAGTCTGCTTGCTCTTGACAAGACTGAGTCAATGGAGCCCAAAGAGCAAAGATCCTTTTCTTTGCACTATTCTTTTTCTATACATAACAATATGAATTACACAGCAGAACTTACATAAGAAAAGACATTTATGTTGCTGAGCAGCTCCTGAATACACAATCTGTTTTCTCCGTATCCACCATTTTTAATTTTTCTTAATGGAAAACGCCCCTAAGACTGAAGAATCATTTCTGGGTACAAAACAGAGGCAAGCTTCAATAAAGCCACAAGCTCTTTGTGAGGTTCACACATGGCAGTCAGTTTTATAACACCACGCCTTCCAAGCAAACAGTGCTGCAGACATTTTTTTGCAAGCCATTACTCCTAGTCACAGCCTCCCCCTTTGAATTAATTATGATGCCACAGCATGACATACATACCCTCACCAAATGGACAATGTATTTCTATCTCCCATGTGTCTTTAATTTAGGAGGTGGCTTGAATCCCCAAATGGCAACAGCTCCACATGTTCCTATTCTCACACCTATCTAGCTCACCGATTATAGGTGTTCCTGATCCAAAACCTTCATCTTTCTGTACCAATAAGATTCCCTGTTCACAGCCAGCCTCTGGCAGAAGGCTGGATCCAGACCCTTGCTTGCCTTCCACCTAATCTGTGTTCAGATCCTGCTGCCTTTCAAGAAAAGCCACAGCTCCAGGGCAGAGGAAGGAAGGACTCCAGCCTTCCTGAGGTGGGAGCACATACTCAGAATCCTGCAGCCTGAAATCCTGTCCCCATCAATCCTAGAAGGCAGCTCCTTCAGTCTAGCTCATTATTTCGGGTCAGGCTTGCCAAAGGCGGGTTGGGGGTTGTGTTTTTCCCTCTGTTCGCATTCCCACAACAGGCGTTTGCCGCCCATCTCTGCCTGAAGCTCGGCATCTTGCTCTACTTCTCCTCTCTCCCTTTTCACCCAACCTCGCCTCTTTCTCTCCATTTTCGGGAAGGCGTCCACTCCACACGAAACCACCCACAGCAAGCACAAGCAGCCATTCGACTCGTTGCAGACACGCTGCTTGCTAGGAAAGGCGAGAGGAGACGGCGGGCAAACGCCAGGAGAGGAAAAGGGCCAAGGAGGCTAAGGCAAGGCATCCCAGCATCTACCCACCTCGCTCCTACGCCCAAGATAACGCATCTCGTTATGGATGGAGATGGCACAATCCCATTGCAAAAATAAAAATAGGGGGGAAAAAATCAAAGAAGCGGCAAGGGGTTGCAATTCTCCCCTTACGGTCCCTCATCAGCCTGCCATTTGAACACACCTTTCACGCCAACAGACCCAAGTTCTGATTTCCTACAGCAGCAGCTGGCTTGGCTGCAACCACAATGTGCACAACTGCACGGGAATAAATCCAAATACCATACGGCAATTATCCTTGTGAGCGCTCTCGTGTGCACACACACACACACACACACACACACCAGCACACCCAGGATCACCCCTTTTTTCTAGGGTTCCTAAACTCCTCCGGCGCATTTATGCCGTCCCCCTCTTTCGCCTGGGACGAAGCAAGATTGGCATGGGGGGGGGAGGAAGGGGAAGGAGCTTCCCAAAATGGGGTGACGGCGCCGGGGGCTAAGTCTTACCCAGCAGGAGCAGCTTGAGTTCTCGGCGGGCGTCCCGCTTGTCTCGGCGGAGCTGCCTCTCGATCTCATCGTTGATCCGCCTGGCTTCCTTGGCTTCCTCGCTCAGGCAGCACGCCATGATGGACTCCAGAGTCATTCTTCCGAGCTGGTTCAGGCGCAGCCCCCCCCACCCCCCGAAAACACGCAGACCCCGAGCCACAAAGCCGCGAGCGCCAGAAAGCCCTCCCGCTCCTCAGTCGGAGCGCCCCTCCCGTCGGCAGGCGCGGGCAAAGGCAAGGCGAGCCCCGGGGAGAACTCTGGCTGCTAACACGCGGAGACGCCCGGGCACCTCCGCGACGTGCCCCCCGCCCCGGGCAGGTATCCCCCACCTACAATCCCCCCCAAGCCTGCCTTTGGAAACCCTGGCCGCTTCCGAGTCCTCGTCTCCCTTCAATCCTGCGCCAAACCGCGGAGAAACATCCGCCCAGGCAGAAGCAGCAGCAACAGCAGCAGCAAGCGCGCTGCCCGGCAGAAAGCAAAAAGCGTCCTGCTTGCAAACAACCCCGCTTTCCTACCCCTCCCTCTATTCCTGCGCTGCCGCCGCCTCTCGGCTTCCCCTCCCGACCCTCTGGCAAACCGCGCGGCTCTTCCCTTCTCCGCCTGGAAGCCCTAACGGCTGCGCCCGAAGCCGCCCTCCGCTCCGAGCCCGTCCATTTCCTTCGCTTTCTCCCCGCTTCCCCCACCCCCCCGCTGCCTTTTCCCGAACGCGGCGGCCCCCAAGCGTCCCGCGCAGGAGACACGGCTTCTGCCCTGATCCCGAGAAACCCTCCGGACTGCTTCTTGGAAAGTCAACTTCCCTCGCTAGGGAGCCTGAGGGCGAAGAGAGAGGGAGGGGGGGGGGAGAAAGAAAGAAAGAGGGGGGGGGAAAAAAAAAGAGAGAGAGAGAGATGGCTGCGCTTGCTTGTCTTCGAAGGCGGCGGCAGCGACAGCCAGGGAGGGCCAGCTCTTCCTTTCTCGGTTCCGCCTTTCCTTTGGTGTAAGAAACGGGGGTGGGTACCGCGGGAGGCGGGGGGGGGGAGGCAGAGACTGGTGCATATACTGTGCAGCCAGACGGATTTCAGTAGCTCAGCTCTCCGGGCGTGGTAAGGCAGGAATATGGCGGATCTTTTCTCTTGCTTTCTGTTCTGCGCGCACCCCCCTCCCCCCGAAATGAAATCCCAGGGAAGTGGAAGCTTCACACCCGCCGCTTCGCACTGCAGCGCCCGCAGTCACAGAGGGAGGACCGAGCCCTTTCTCCCCACCCCCGCGAGGGGCTGCAAGTAATGCATTACTATGGGCGTCGCTATTCTTCTCCTAAGGGCAGGGGGCTGCCGCTTGAGAAAACTGAATTTTACAGTTTTAAATCTCGCCTCCCCTTCTTCAGCTCTGTATTCCTTTCTCTGCCCTTTCCACGATATCGTGTGTATGGCGAACCTTCGCTTTCTCCTATTATTAAAAGGATATGGGACGCTGTTGGGAGAAAGGAGGCTTAATGGATCAGGCGAAGCTGAGATGAATTGCGTGGGGGTAAATCCGGTTCTTCAGAAATATTATGTCTGAGGTTAGAGGAGCGTCACCAAGAGAATTGCATGCTTAATTCCTGCTATTATTTTTATATTTAGATTTATATCCTACCTTTTCTGGTTCAGGCAATATGGCTAGCACTCCTACGAGGTTTCCTGACAACAACCCTGTGAGGTAGGTTGGTTGGGAAACTGAGTGACCCAAGGTTACTTGGTCTGAGCACATTCCTCAATGTTGGGAATGACAGTAATTGAACGCATTGGTTCATTATTTATTATATTTCCGCTGAGTAAAACAGAGTTTATTATCTTTAAATCACTCCACTTGCCAGATGGTGAAAGTTTAAGCCAGACCATTTCCATATCTGTTTTCCTCTACAGGGGAGTGTCGCTGAGGACCAAAGTTGTAGGTAAGGCCTACCCTGTATGCAGTTAAGATAGGTTCCTGTGTAAAAAAATCATAATAAAATAAATAGTCTGGGATTGACAAACATAAATTACTACTGGGTGGACCTAATCTGCTTTACTTTTTTCTCTTGGAAACTAGAATCCTGCAAATGACTGAATGAAGAGAACTTCAGAGTATACAAATGCTTACTTGAAGATTATGGCTCCAGAAAGAGTTGTAGCTGTTTTGATTTCCAAAATCTTGGTCTGCAAAAATTAGAGACATTAGAATAATCTTAAAACCCTCACATTGTCAACGCTTAATATTGTTACAGTATAGGCACAGCAATCAAAAATTTGACACCCCTATGCAAGAAAGTGATTCTCACACAGCCAATTTTTGCAGGTGAATTACACCACTGTTTTCATGTGAAGATGCAGTATAGATGGGTCCATGAAATTGGAAGGAGTTGAGCTCAATAGGATATTTTACATTCACTTACTTAGCTTTCCAGATATTATATAATTATAATGAGGAAACTGGACTCAGTTAATTAACAATTTCATAACTTTATTTGCGTTAGAGGTAAGATAAGCATGAAAGGAACATGTATTTACAAAATATATAAAATGGGACATGCAAGATTTTTTGTTTTGTACCTATAAGAAATTGATCAAGCTTTCCTTGATTTGTGCTGTTGCTGGGCAACATCAGTGTAGAGCTGCCACTTTAGGTCTGTTCTCTAAGTGACCTGCTACTATTCTTAGACTCTAGAGTTAGTCCATAGGTTATATCTTTTTTCTTTTGTAAGAAAAAAAATGTCCAGTACCAATATATTTTTTGAAAGAGCAAGTTTAAGGAAACACTTGCATAATTTCAGGGTGACATTACAACCTGAATCTATATGAGAATTTCCATGACTACCTGCCAAAACAATTTTATTGAAATAAAATTTACTGTCATACAGTTAGAGAATCAATTCATATATATATTTACTAACAAAAGTTCAACAAAGACCACAAGTTTACATTTTATCTTCCATGTTTAAGTGCCAGACTTAAGTATAAACCATTCCCACATTATGCTAGAATAAAGGTTCAACAAATTTAGGCTTCGCCGATTCTACCCTGATGAATTATAACAAATTGGAACAAAAAGATTAGCAACGCAGCAGTGGTGATGAACAGTAGTAATAAAACTAATGATAAAAAGTATCTTCTATGTCAAATTGTGGAATCCTGAGCAAGTTATGAAAATATTTCATATTTTTGTTTGGGAAATGGGTAGTATGGCTTACATACGGTATACGGTATACATACACATATAAGAATTGAGCGTCTTCTAGTAAAAATCTTGAAAAAACAGATGGTTTATTGTGGACCTCTTAAAAGGGCACAGAACAAGGAAATAGAATGCTTACATATCTATGCAGACTCATGATTGATTATATCTTGATGTGATCTGTCCTCATTCCTGTTCTGACCATTGCAGCTTGGTCCCTGGTCATTACAGTAGCTCTACTGGTGGGAGCTGATGAGAATGGGAAACCAACAATATGAAAAGAAGACCTTTACCATTTTAAAATTTGTTACATATATTTATGATTGGTTGGCTAAAGTCCACCATTTAATCACAATGAGAAAACATCCAGAATCTAGATTCATTAAGGTTTGGTCGTAAAAAAACAATCTAATGATAACATATACAAATATTTAGTATTTTTAAGTTCTTCCTTTTTATTGAAGTATCAGTTCTTAAGGCATCTTCTCAAATCTAGGACCTCCAAATTAATACCTGCAGGGAGATTGGAATGAGATTGGAGATCTCTCTCTCTCTCTCCCTCTCCCTCCCTCCCTCTCCGTGTATGTGTACACACACACACACACACACACCGTATTTTTCGGAGTATAAGATGCACCGGAGTATAAGACGCATCTTAGTTTTTGGGGAGGAAAATAAGAAAAAAGAATCTGACTACCAGGTATTCATTTGGCTAGTATCCTTAGTATGGTCAGCTTCAGCACATTTCGCTGGTTTTGAACGTGCACTCTTGCACACGCTGGGTTGGGTATAAAAAACAGCTTTTAAAGCACAGCTGATCTTTGGAGAGAGAAGTACTGAGAAAAGCAGGCAAAGCATGGAAGATCGCTTCACTCGCTAGCGCCTCGTTAGGGCTGAAAAACAGCTTCTAAAGCACAGCTGATCTTCGGAGAGAGAAGCACTGAGAAAACAGGTGAAGCACGGAAGATCTCTTCACTCACTAGTGCCTCGTTAGGGCTGAAAAACAGCTTCTAAAGCACAGCTGATCTTCGGAGAGAAGCACTGAAAAAAACAGGTGAAGCACGGAAGATCGCTTCACTTGCTAGCGCCTTGTTAGGGCTGAAAAAAGCTTCGGAGTATAAGACGAACCCAAATTTTCAGCCTCTTTTAGAGGGGGAAAAAGTGTGTGTTATACTCCGAAAAATACAGTATATAGCTGCCAGGAGACAGGAACAATTAAGAAAACAGGATTGACTTGGGAGTAAGGCTTGGAGATGATTGGCCCCTTCCAAAAGACATAAAAGAGAAGCGAATGGGATGTGAGGTTTTGCAGAAAGCAATTAGTTCATCTGGTCGGTAAAAGCTGTGGAAAAGTTTTGTTTGACTCTGTGCTAAGTTTGGCCTTGCCCTGCATGTGGCAATTAGTTCTCTGGCAGCATTCCAAGGGAGATAAGGTGAGTGTTTGTAAACACTCCCCTGCAAGACTATTTGAGAAGCCTTTCAGACTGGGAATGACAATAATTCTCAACCATGTGAATTAGAGAGGTTTGCCAAGATTAACTTTGTGCTGTTTACTTTCTAAGGAAGCCTAGGTCAGAACAATATACATATACACACACACACAATAGTTTTGATCTTCAGCTTTTCAACTAGTATTGATGCTTTTGTTTGTGATAGCAACTTAATGTGGGATATTTATGAGCAACACTTATTTTCATTGTATAAAAAAATAAAACATCACTTAGTGATTTTAGCAGCATATAGTTGTAAGAAACAATTAGGTTGATTCGCTTTCTCTGGTAAGATGTAACCATATTTAGCTTAGTTCAAAAGAAATGTGATTTCTATAAAGTTCCTAATGGGATGAATCCAAAAAACGTTTTCTGGACTCAATTTTGTTGTGTAGTTCTTTTCTATGAATCCCGCTGTGACCCGTTTTACATTTTCCCCTATATTTGCCATTCTTCCTCTTCTCATTTACTTCATTTTCTGTTCCAGATAAAAATCCTCCATGCCCTTTTTTTGTTTGTGCACTTCTTAGGTACCATGCAAACGAATTGTAAAGTATTATTTATTCCTGTAGTTATCTTCATTAAGAGTATTAAGTTTTTTCAGGGGACTCATATAAATGTGTTTTCACACAGTATTGGCAGCTATCATGTAATAGCTTGTTGTTTAGAAACAGCCTTACCATTTATGCCAAGACTAACTCTTCCTTTAGGGTCAGCTTGGGACTGCATGGCCTCCATGACAACCATAGAGATATCTCCACTAATAACTAGCCAGATACGTGAGGCAAGGCACACTCTGGATTTGTTTTTTTCCACTTCCCGGCAAGAGCTGTAAGACATTCTCTTTGGGCTGATTTGTACCACTTAAGGGTAAAAAGCTAATGTGAGGTGTAGATTAATATATTCATATTACAGAGAAGATTTGCCCTTTATTAAGAATAATTTGTTTTAAGGTATTGCTTTTCATGCAAAGTTCTTTAGATATGATGGAAACATACAATGATGCCTATTTTCATTATATTATGTCACTTTTCTTCCAATTTGCTAAACCCACTGAGTTTTATATTATTGAACTGAACACCAGATATATTGTGAACTCAATTACATAAACTCTCTAAGAGTGTGTACCAAGGGCCTTCTCCCAAGGAAGAATAATTGTGTTTTTGTACAAATGGTGGATATACGCATTCATTTTCAAGATTGACTAATGTAACATTTACTTAATAATAAATTTTCAAACTTTAGTCTTCTAAAATGGCTTGACATGGCTAGAATTGTTTAAGCATGGCTTGCTGAATATGTCACATCACATGCTAAGCTGTAATAATAGTTGGGTTCCCAGATTATAGTTTTAGCATTGAGATATTTGTTTATTTATTTATTTATTTATTTATTTATTTATTTTATTTATTTATTTATTTATTTATTATACCGCCCTTCTCCCGCAGGACTCAGGGCGGTGCACAGCCAAAATAAAACATAGTATACAAGATTTAAAAACAATTTAAAACAAATAATTTTGGCCCAAATAATTTAAAACAACCCAATGAACTTGGCCATTGTTTTTTAATGGAAGAGTTCAGTGGAATCACAAAGAGTAGGTGCACAAATGTTTGTAATCTCTCAGTTACAGGAACATGAATACCCATAACTGCATTGGTCACTGATAGAAGGGAAACATATTCTTTTAGTAGTACAGTTGGAAGGCAATTTAGTCCACTTTTCTTCATTAAGAAACTAAACTATAGAAACAATGGTTTGTCATCATTAAGTGAATCACTATGTACATGTTAAGTGAGGACATCATGTGGTCACTATTTGCGACCTGCCAACTTTCCCAACCTTGAATAGTCCCTAGGAATGGTCAGTAAGTGAGGACCACCTGTACTTGGTCATTAATCTACTGCAAACATCAGTTGGTGCTTCTGAAAGATTTGGGCTATTGCCTACTTTTCTGTTTTCCCATTTGATTTTTATTCATATGGGTTTCAAAACTGTAGTTGGTTCTGCATATTACAGTACACCAAACTATAATGTGGTTTGTTTGATTATAGAACATGATGTCTAAACAGAACCAACTGATGGCCCAAAAGATGGAGACATTTTTTAGACTATATTTCAGATGACAAGAAGATTGCTAGGATTGCCTCTATTACTCATCCTAATTGAACTTGCAAGTAAAGTGTAGCCTACTAGACTAATCTGGAAAAAGTGTCCTCATCTTCACTCCATTTTGGTATGTTCTGACACTAGATAGAATAGGAACTTCTTTGTGAGATAGGTTTCTGGAATTTTTCTCTTTATTCATAAGATTTGTATTCTGCTTTTCTCAAATATATATCTACTCAGGACAGTTTATTATAACTAAATCACAATAGGGAATTACAATTTTATTGTTATTGCTAACCTAGTAAGTAAAAATTCTTTAATTAAGAATTAACCTGGTTTGCATGCCAGCAAAAGCAGATAACAGATAAAATCTTTTAGTAGGACAACCTGTTAAAAATATTAATGAAGACATGGGGACAGTTCTAAACTTCCTTTCAGCAAGTCATGTTTCTTTAGATGGGACAATGGCAGGGGTGAAATCCAACAGGTTCTGACAGGTTCTGGAGAACTGGTAGCAAAAATTTTGAGTAGTTTGGAGAACTGGCAAATACCACCTTTGGCTGGCCCCAGAGTGGGGTGGGAATGGAGATTTTTCAATATCCTTCCCTCAGGAATGGGGAGGAAATGGGGATTTTGCAGTATCCTTCCCCTGGAGTGGAGTGGGAATGGAGATTTTGCAGTATCCTTCCCCTGGAGTGGGATGGGAATGGAGATTTTGCAGTATCCTTCCCCTGGAGTGGAATGGGAATGGAGATTTTGCAGTATCCTTCCCCTGGAGTGGGATGGGAATGGAGATTTTTACAGTATCCTTCCCTCGCCCATCAAGCCACACCACGCCCACCAAGCCAAGCCCACAGAACTGGTAGTAAAAAAGTTTGGATTTTACCACTGAACAATGGGACCATTGGGACCAGGGGTGAAATGCTCCCGGTTTGAACCGGCTCAGGTGAGTAGGTAGCGATGGCGGTGGGCAGTTCGGAGAATCAGTAGCAAAAATCCCTGCCCCCACCCCCCATGCCCAGCTGAGCCGCGTGATCATCAGAGCCTGAGCCAAGTTCTGACGATCCAAGCTCTGACGATCCCA